CCTGGCTCCCGCCGCAGGCTGGCGTCCCCTCCGTCTGAGGCCGCAGTGTTGCACCACGCTCCGTGCCGGGGCTGGTTGCGCGTTCGGATGGAGAGGGAGGAGGGTGTGCCGAGCTCTGGTCTCCCCATCCCTGCGCAGAACGAGGTGAGGGATTCCTGCAGCCTCTCTTCGTGTTCGCTCACGATTACGGAGTCGTGCAGCGGCTTCTGCAGCGCGCGGTGACCTGGCTGGGTGGTCAGACCTACACGGCACTGGCTGGGCACCCTCACCTCTGGGTGAGTGGTATTTAACCGGCTGTTCAGAAATGCGCTTTTGTCGCTGTTTCTAAGGTCAAGTTCTTTGATACGGACCCTCTGCAGCTTCACCCTGGGGGGTTCTGAGCGCCAGCTCCGGCGCTGCCTACCCGTGCATGCCCTGCGGCGCAGCTGTAGCGGGGCCGGGGCTCAGAGGTGGGCGCTTTCTGCCAGGTTGCAGCAGAGGGAGAGCCGAGAGACCAAGACGGCCCTTTCCTCAACGGGAACGGGCTGAATCCGCTCCTGTCTGATGCAGGGATGGTGGCTCTTACCCCAAGGTGCCTTCCCTGCACGGCTGCCCTTTTCGAGCCAGGTCTTACCTTGCTGTCGCACGAGCTGTTTGGGGGGGGGGGACACGGACGGACACGACATGTGTTTCTTTTTCCTGTGACCCCTTTCCAGGCAAAATGGGTATTTCAGGGGCCTGCGACTGCAGAGGACTTGACCTGATGGCAGATGTGGTCCCTTCTGGTCCTCCAGCTTGAGAGGAGGAGTGCAGGACCGCTGCTGGCTCCCCACTGCCGGGGCTGTGCGCCCTGGGACTCGCCCTTCTTCAGGTGCAGCACCGTGCCAAGCCCTGGGCGGGGGGTGGGGGGTCCCCACGTGCTCGTCCTTCCTTCTGTGCGTTAGCAGAGGAGACGCTGCCTCGGATCAGTTTCCATACGACTTGGCAAAATGTGCGTTTGTGTCGGTTCTGCAAGAGCAGCAGCCGGCTCCGCGGCGTACGCGTTGTGGCGGTAATAGAGGGGCTTGAGTTATAGTGAAACTTATTTCATTTTACAGCTCCTACAGCGCTAACAGATGTAGAGGCGTCTGATCCAATCATGCAGCAAGAGATTTTGGGGCCAGTTCTTCCAGTTTTGACAGTGTGTAAGCTAGGAGCAGCCATACATTTTACAAACAAGAATAAACGACCCTTAGCAACATATGTCTGCGCTGGCAGCTCCAGCGTAACCATAAATAAGGAGCCCTGCTAGGCAGGAACGTATCTGGGCGCCGCATACGGCCAGGACGGACAAAGCATCTGCCTTCTTCCCGTTATATTGATGAGGTGCAGGCACTGGAATCCCTGTGCTGTACAGCTGGATCGGCGGGGTGGGGACAAAGGACTTGGAAAAGCAAATGCTAACCCAGAGCAACGGAGCTTTATTTGGTTTAAAGCCTGTATTTCATTTGAGCCACGCTTCGCCCCTGCCCGCTCTCTCTCGCCAGGCTTGCCCCCGTTACTGCCCCCTGCTCCACGCCGGGTAGCGGACGCCAGCTCGGCCACGCTACAACTTCTTCACCGAAGGTCCCTGCTTTGGCCCCAGTGTCCCCCCTGCTCCCAGCCCAGGGCGGAGGGTGCACTGGGACCCCAGCCTTGCTGCAGCTTAATGGCCAGCGGCGCCCCTGTGTACCCTGGGGACAGCATTCGGCGCAGGAGGGTGCCGTAGGCCGAGGTGGGGGAGCAGAGGTCGCCCACTGCCGCAGCGAGCTCTCCCAGCCCCTGGGGAGCTGAGCTCTGTGCTGCTGGGACCACGCTCAGCCTCACCCCTGCTCGCTCCTGAATTCAAGCCCTGGCCCCCTGGCCCTGTAACTGGAACAACAGGGTCACCCCAGCCACCAGCTTCCCTCTGCGCCCTAATAAATTTAATCTCTCTATCATCTTAAAAGCGTGGTAGCTAAATTTATTTCTCCTTGCAATCAAAACAATGCTAGCTTTGGTCCCAAAACAGTAGTCACATTTCTTCCCCCTCCCAGCTGGAAAAAGAAAATACTATAAATCCAGCCCAGAGCTGATTTATACAGCATTCATGAAGAATTTATATTACAAAGAATTTTATTCAATTAAACTTGAAAAGCCTCTGGATTCCTAAGGTTCAATAGTGATCACTGAGACAGAGCTATCATAAAACTGGATGGCCTGTCTGGAGCAGGCATTGAGAAAATGTCTGATGTGACATTGCAGCTGACGGTACAGTCCAAATCAAGAGCATTTGTCATTGGGATGTGTTACAGGCTAAGGCTTGGAAAATTACTCTGTGAAAAATGTGCATTAACAATAGCCATGAAATATCTGTTTTAAAAAAAAAAAAGGGTGAATAATGAGACAGCGGTATCTATTAGCGCTGGGCATTCTTCACACTGACCCCACTCTGATTAAAAAGTTAACACAAAAGCCAGAGGCTCTTTCGGGAAGCAAGTTTAAGGTTGTTTCAACTTAAATCACTGATGAGAGGAAGCTGCACGACTGCCTGAAAGGCTCCCACCACCGAAGCGGCCCCCTCAGTGCAGGACAAGCACCCTGGACGTGTGCGATCACCTCGCAGCCCGCAGGTTTCCCTGGCGCTCCTCCACCCAAGGGGGGAAGACAAACCACCCCGCCTGACACATGTTCTTCCCAGTTGTATTTCCAAGCTGTAAGTGGCTTGGACTTCACTGTAAAACCCCAATTGTCTGTATTCTCCGGGCAAGGTGGGTACCGAGGTGTTAACTTGCCCCGCTGGCTGCCATGCACTGGTTTACGCACCAAGGATGGGTTTGGGCAGTTTTCAGCCCATCAGGAGGCTGGAACAAGGGAGGTCTTTGGTGAAGCACTGGGATCTGCTGTCATGGTGTTCGCAGCCCGATCTTCCGGGCGGCAGGACACGCTCAGGTCTACTCTGCTGAGGGCTCCGTGACAGCAACGCCCGCGGGGTCAGCGCAGGCGTTACCATCGGTGAGGTACGAACCCCTGCGGGCGTCAGCCTCTCTCTTCCAGCTCCAGCCGTCAGCTGAGGCGGCCCCTGCCACTCACCACCACCCCTTCGTCTGCAAACAGCGACTGGAGCGGTGACTCAAGCTGACCAAGGGCTTTTCTCCTTCAGCTGGTACCTGCAGCCCCAACTCAGCGGGGTCTGCGTGCTCGGAGGGGCAGCTCCAGGGGGGGTTAACCCCAGCTACCTGAACAGTCACAGACTCACCTTCCCTGCCCATTACCTGCAGGATCGGGCCCTTCTTTAATCCCTCTGCCCTGCGTACGCCCCGCGGCTGGCAGAGGAGGCACTGGGCTGTCAGCGCGGAGGCGTTCTTCCCGTGCGCCGAGCGAGGCGGCCAGAGCCGCGGCGTTCTCGGTGCGTCCCTGTAAATCCGCCCAGCTCGGCTTCAGCCGGCGCTGATGGATGGAAAGCAGCTTGAAAAAGCAAAGCACACCAGGCTCAGCGCTGAAGTGTGACAGTTCAGGGCCCTTTGGTAGGCGTAAATCACATTTATTATTTCAGAGCTTTGCGGACAGAGCTCGGAACCTCCGCGCCGTCGCTGCTCTGCACGAGCGTTACGACTTACAAAGAGAAGCCGATCGTTTTCTCCTCAGAGTCCTGCCAAAGCCTTTCCCCAGCACCCACCCCTGCCCAGGGAAATGAAGACACCTCCAGAAACCAGCTGTAGGTCTTTGAAGTCTCCTGCCTCAACTCCAGCCCAGGGCAAACAGCAACTCGGATGCCATCGCCGCAGCGGTACGCAGGGATCCCTGGACGAGGCCCAGCGGACAGAACAGCCGCGTTCCTCACGGTATTTATGAGCGAGGTCCTGGTTATTTAAGCTGGGAGTTCTTGGCAGCTCACACTTCCAGTCCAGGCTTGTTCCCTTTCCCTTCCTTGATGGGGGAAAGCAGTCTGCTGGATTTAGCTTCCCATCATCACGGAAACAAACATCCCAGCTCCCAGTTACGGTTCAGGCTTTACATAGATTTTCTCCTCCTTCCCTTCCTTCATTGCAGCATAACGTGCCAGAACGAAGAGGTAGTCGCTCAGTCTGGAAACAAAGGGAAAAGCAGTGAAACCGCTTCTCCCCTCTGGCACGTTCGCAGCCAGCAACGCCCAACGCCGCAGTGAAGCAGGTCGGGTCAAGGCGGGCAGAGCGAGCCCACGCGAGAATCGCCTTCCCGAAGGGCTTTCAACAAGGGAGATGCCCCCTCCCTCAGCACCGCAGCACCCTGCGAACACACCGGCCTTGCAGAATGCTTTTTAACAAGCTGCTTGTTGAAACTGCAGAGATCTTGCTCCAGAAGGGACGCTTCTCAAGAGGTAAAACCCCGCAGTTTTACCCCAAGGCGAAGGGCCCGCCACCAGGCACACTGCACTAGTACGGAGTAAGGGTTTGGGATTTTATTTGGGTTTTTTACCTGTTTAAATATTTGGCCACGTTGGGATCCGCTTCTCCTGCTTGTACTAAAGGAATCACGCTAGAAAAAGAAAAAACTTTTGTGTATTTAACTTTCTAGCTCTGAATGCCCAAAGGCCTGGTATGTGCTGGAGCACCAACCTCCGCACCCCAACCGCGCCCAGATCCCGGCTCTTTACTTCCCCAAGAGGAATCCATGGTGGCTAAGTGACACCCGGCGGTTTTGTCACTGTTCTGGAGGGCTGCAGCTCCGCTCTAAAGGATGCTCCTCAGTGGGGGTCACTGAAGAGCGGGAGCAGTTTGCAGGATCATTCTCCTTTTCTGCAGGTAAGCAGGGCCCGTGCTGTCGCTGCAGGAACAGAGCTGTTCCTTGCCTCCTGACTGGCGCACAGCCCCCTTTTTCTGGCTTGTTTTTGACAAGCCACCACTGACTGTGATGTTAGTTTATTGAAGATCACTCTGCTCCAGTGTTATCTTGTCAGGGCAGCAACCCTCACAGCACAGCACACGCACCACAATGCCTTCCTGCGTGTCAGCAGCTTCAGGGAAGAACCCCCAGTGACTCCGAACGGCTGAGGAGCAGGTTCGGGCTAACCCAAGAGCCTCTGCATGGAAGGGATTGGCATCATGAGCAGCCAAGAGTTTCCTCCTAAGGACCTTCCCACGGGAGTTTCCGCCAGAGAAGCGGGACAAGGCAGTAACATCTCAAAGCTTCCCTGGATCTCCCAGCAGCCAGTGCCCAGCTTCCCTGTGTGCCAGCCCCCAAAATACACTCAGCACACCAGACACGAGCTGAACACGTGGCTGCATCTCCACATAAACCTGTCTGCTCTTTCTGAAGCTCTTGGCTCAGGTGACCCAGTTCAGGGGAGGGATGAGAGACTAGCTTTTGCCGACTGCACTCCGGGCATTTCACTAACACGAGCGTACGAAGCTTGACTCGAGCTCCAGCCTACGCAGCTCAAGCTACAGCTCCTCGCTCCATCACAATGATTTGCTACCGCTGCAGCCCTCTGATCACCTCTCACCCGTTTTATTCTGTTACTCACCACCTTTCAGCTCTGCGGCAGACAGCTCGGGAGAAGTGGAGAGCAGCGCTGCTCTTGCCTCCTGACTGAAACAACAACAGAACGGCGCGTCAGTGCCTGCTCACGACAGATACAGCCATCCCCCTTGTTGGGTGGCTGCAGCAAAGCTTATCACATCTCACACACTGAGCCCTGTGTTACGGCTAGGCCACTGGGAAGAGGTATCTGAAAGCAGGAGGATGGGGAAATTTAACTAAGCCGGGTCCTTCTCTCCGCTCTGTTTGTGGTATTTGCCCATGCAAATAATGGCCTCGCGACCTGTTTTCCCACGGAGAGTGGCAGAGCAGATTTCCCCGAACAAAGCGAGCTGTCCGCGGTCAGAGAGAGGCCTGAGCGGTACCTACCGGCAAGATGAAAGCTCTGAGCGGAGGAAGCTGCTCTGAGTAACTGTCAATCCACTGCTCCAGCTCCAGAACGGGCTTCTCACTAAAAGATGTTCGTCCTACACAGGGAAGGATCAACCAAATGAAATGCAGAGGTAGTTCACTCTACAGCCAGAGCTCTACTTTCGTATTTCTTGCATCAGCAAGCATCCCAAAAAACTCCTCCTGCTGTAGAGCAAGGCTGGCTCCCCCACTCAGCAGCCGTGGCTGGGGATCAGTGGGGCAGCGCCTCAGGCCAGCTGCCACCGCTCCGAGCCACACGAGGACAGCAGCCTCTGGGACCCTGCGGGACTTCCCCAGCACCCGCTGCGGAGCAGCCCTTGGGCAGCTCTGACCACCCCGCTGGAGGCACAGCCTCCCCAGCGCCAGCGATCCTGCTGCCCAGGAGCGTTATCCCGGGCAAGGAGCTGCGGGGCTTACTTAAGTGAGCCTCCCTGGCCGAGGAGAGAGGCGTCGCGATGTTGGAGCCCACGTCCTGCAGCATGCACTGCACCTAGATGTGGCAGTCGGGACAAAAACGAGAAGCGCTTTCATTAACCGCCCTTTGATGCTCCGGGACAACGGCAGCAAGCTCTGGGAGGCGACAGCTGGTTGTGCTGATTAAAGAAGATCCTACCCGTGTTGTTCCTCATCCCCCAGCCTGCTGGCAGGGGGGATCAGATAAGTGCTCCCTAATTGCTTTACGAGAAGCCAGATTAGCGCATGGACTTGTTTTCACTGGCACATTAAACCACCCTGGCTGACTTTGCAGAAAGCAGACTGGGGGAGTGCTCCTATAATCCCTTTGCTGGTAGGACACCGAACCAGGAACCCCTGGGAGAAAGGCAGTGACCAATGGCTGCAGCCAGCCCTGGCTTGGTGTCACATCTGCTTCTGTGAGGGGCATCTCTCCACAGCCCAGGATACCTGAGAGGGAGGTGGGTAAAGCTTCTTCCAACCTCTGATCAGCTCCTTCTGTGTTCTCGTGGCCCAGCGAAGCTCCTTAGCGAACCTCACAGGCTGCCAGGGTAGGACCTGCCTCCCATTGTGCCCCAGTTTCAAAGGTGACAAGACTTGTGTCCATGACCAGGTACAGTCACAGGTCTGAATAAAGCTAGAGACATCTTGGTCTGCCCACAGCTAAAGACTTGATCTACCAGTTTCCTTCTTGGTTAAAGAAATTTATTTATTGAGAGAGTAATCAAAGGTCAGAGTCTTCAATAGTTATTTATTTTAATACTAAATGTATTAAGTTTCTGTGTGCCCACGTGTCCGTGGGAGCACTGTGTCTATAATTAAAGAGTTTAAGAATACATTTCAGTAGCACAAAGGCAGTGACTGCACTGGGTGAGGGGTATCATGAATACTCACTTTGTGAAGTTGTTCAACAAACATGTGGCCCTTTTCACTGCTAAATTCACCAGCAAGCCTAGGTTTAAAAAAAAAAAAAAAGCCAACCAGAAAACAGTTAGCTGGAAATGAAAAAAACTGCCACGATTGTGCATATGTGTTTTTGCATAGGAAAACCATAGAATTTGGACACTCCTGGCTGTTTGTCAGCACAACCCTCCACAGAAATTTGGTCCCTTCCCTCCTGCCAGGTGCTGGCGTGGGGAGAGC